TGTCTATGTAGCAAGCTCTTCCTCTGGAGCTATCTCAGTACACCTAAATCCTGGGTTGGATCTCCCCAACAAGCCGTATCCTAGATATCTCCTCAGAGGAGGCTTGTAATCATGCCAGACTATATTATGAGTTGTATAAGTTTTCATATCCACAAATCACTAGCATGTAAGCACTTAATATAATGTTACTACAGGTTGAACTTCTCCAGTTCTGACCGGTTCCAAACCAGAAAATTTTTTGGCCCACAGGAGGACAATATTGTCTAGCAGCATTACCAACACTTCCAGTGCTTATTGGACTCTGAGATGATTTTTAGGGTAAATTCGAGCTCAATAACAGCAGAGAATGCTGAGAGCTAGGACTGGTGGCTGTAAACAAACTTTATGGGATCGTGGGAAACTTGGCCATGTCCATAGAAAGTGGTCATTTAGCTAAGATGATTCCGGATGACAGAAGTTTCCAAACCAGAGAGTTCTGGACTACAGAGGTTCAACCTGTGGTGATCTTGTGAAGATCTGAACTGAAGTATTAAAGGTCATTGGGTTGCTTCGATTACTCATCATTTGTCCCAGTCTGATGGCTTGTTTGTTACTGTTGGATGGATGTGGACAGCTAGAATTGTAAAATCTGTGAGGCGTGTTTTTGTTCTGTGTTGGTACAACACCAGCACAATGGGGTTTTGTATTATGGCTGAGGCTACTGCAATATAAAAATAAATAATGCTTGAGGAGATTTCACATGTTGTGATCTCAGTAGCTGTACTGCTGCTGTATCCTTTAAATAGAATAGGACATTTATACCTAAAGGTTTCTGGGTTATGCGGCACCTGGCTAGCACTTCTCTCTGTGGCCGTGTCCAGACTCAGGGTTTTTTTTGGGAAAAGTAGCCTTTTCCCGAAAAAACTTCCCCTGCGTCCAGACTCAAGCCGCGTTCTTTCGAAATTATTTCGAAAGAACGCAGCTTTTCTTTCGATGGCGGTAAACCTCGTTTCACGAGGAAGAACGCCTTCTTTCGAAAGTTCCTCTTTCGAAAGAAGGCGTTCTTCAATGTAAATAGGCCGTCTTCGAAAGACAGCATCCAGACTCGCTGGGTGCTCTCTTTCGAAAAAGCGGATTTCTCTTTCGAAAGATCCGCCTGCAGTCTAGACGCGATCTTTTGAAAGAGGCTCTTTCGAAAGATGCTTTCGAAAGAGCCTCTTTCGAAAGAAGCCTGCAGTCTAGACATAGCCTGTATCTGGTGTGTAACAGCTTTTTCAATCCAGGAGACACTGGCAACACAAGTGCTACCTTCCAGGCCTCTCCAGACCTTGCTCTCTATACAGATTAGCAATACACACTCTCAAACCCTTGTTGAAACCTCATGGGAATGCTCAAGAGAGATCTCTAGGAAAGCTTTCGGGAGGTAGTTGGTAATCCTCTACTAAAGTTTCCTTGCCAGAGCGGCCTTGTTCCTTCGCCTGCTCTAGGAATCTTTCTTGTGCCATTCAGCAATTGCTTGCACAGGGACCAAGGCAGAAGCTACAAGCATCCAGTAGATATGCATTGGCTTCCCTGCTTACTTTCAGAAGTGAGATATCTGGTACAGTGACTCCCACCTGTGGAGAAGTGTGGGAGAATAATTTCTTCTTTAGCTGCTACATAACCCTTGCAGAGTGCTCTTTTCTCCATGTAAAGCAACTCTGCCAGTCAACACTTGCACCATGCTTTGGTGTTCACTGAGATGCATACTTGCTAAGGGTCAGTGAGAAAGTGATTGTTAGATCACTGGTGTATTTTACTAAAATGGTTCAGCGCTGTGTGTGAACTTATCGATCATGCTTCTGTGCATTATAGCTTATCCTCCGGCAGATGTGGCCTTGAGGAACATCCCACACACAGTGGCCTCAGCATAAGATAACGCCCAATGTCACACACACAAGTGATCTCAGGCATCACACAAGTGCCCAAGATGGAGCAAAGAAGACGTTGTCTGGGAGATTCTGTACTTTTCCAGAGCAGAGAACAAGGAATACAAGAAGTGGAGGGAAGCCAAAAGCAGGACAGAAAAGGAAAATCAGGAGTTTGAGGATGCTACTGAGTGGATGATTCAAGTCATAGAGGAACAAGTGCAAATAATGGAGTCCTTAGCAATGCTACAGACTAAGCAGATGTATGTCTGCTCTCCTGTGCAGCACATTCAGAACCTTTTCCAAGTCTCTCCAAACTCTGCCTGCACAGTCCTTTCTGCTTTCCAGGGCTTCTCAGTTTCTCCTTTACTCCACCCCCCTCAGACACCTTTTTAAAATGACAGCCGGCCCCACACACAGACTGAAAGTCCAATAGTGCTGATCCATTGTATGCAGCTATTCCATGAGTGCCAAAAGCAATCTAAAATTACACCTATCCATATCACACAGCACTTCAGGCAACTGGGAATAGTCTTCCATTAGAAACCTCTTGATTAACTTAACTGCCATCAGTGAGGTCTCCATGATTGCTATCAGAGCGCAGGAGAGCAGTGTTTAATCCATCCCTTCACGCAGATACGAACGGGTGAACAACAAACCCGGGCCTTTGAAAAATGCCATGAAGGAGAACTTGGCAGAAAACAATGCATCATGGGACAATGAGTTCAGTCCCAAGATGCACCAAGGTCTACTTCACTTTCCCACAAGATGTAGCAGCCGCAGAAGTCAAGCTGGACTGTGGGATGGGTAACAACAGAGCGCCAACTGTGGTCACGCTCTGCTGACCGAGGAAGCGAGAGTGAACGTGCAATACTGATTTTTATTGTAGCATTTTCTGAATGTCGACATACCTTTGTCAACAAAACTTGGTAGTTTAGACAAGTCCTTGCTGCTAAATACAATAACCCCAGCTACTGTTTTCTTTTCCTACATCCCCCACAACCTATTGATTTGCATTATGTTCAGGGTGTAAATGGGGGCTCTTCTGAACTAATCTCAAATTTGCATATGAGATGATATAAACATCTGTTTTTCTCTTCTGCCCCATAGGAGTGTCTGGATTACCGTATGGTGACTTGTCTTAACTTTCAGACCTAGAGAACAGGCTATAACTTTTGGTGTATATTCGTAACTCTTTACACAATTTCCATGCATACATTTTGCAATGATTATGATGACCAGGGTGGCAAAGGATTTCATTGGATACCGGGGAGGTAAAATCCCGATTAATCATTTAATCCTGATGCCCTAACATTTAACTGGTTAACTGGCTAAAGTAAGAACCGGGCTGGGGACCACTACAGCCCAGCTGGAGCAGCCCCCCTGCACCTGGGGCTCCCTCCTCAACCCCACGCTGGTGCTGGCCTTCCTCTGGCTATCTGCTTACAGCCCCTGCTGCCCCTGTGTGCAGCAGGCCCAGGCTCCCTGTGGACAGAGGTTGCTGTGTACATGGGAGCAGCCCCTGACTGTGGTGGGCCACTTGTGGGTCTGGAGTTGCTGCCTGCCCATGGCAGTCAGGGAGCTGCCCTAGCCCCTGACAGAGAATGGGTAATGCCTACTGGTTCCAGTTTAGGGTAATGCTTACCAGTTCCAGTTTAGGGTGATGCTTACTGGTTAACTGGTTGATCTTTCACATCCCTATTAGATACCACAGATAAACCCTCTTGGTGAAACTAGGGGGATTCCTGTATCACTATGGGCATGTCTACACTAGGAAATTATTTTGAAATAACTAAATTCAGCTTAATCACTCCCTATTTTACAAAATGAAAACAGAGTGTTCCCATTATGGGAAAGCCTCAAAATTAGTCCAAAGCAGGCTCCATTAATGTGGATGCACTACCTTGACTTATAGCCCTGGGAAGTACTGGGGAGTAATTAGTTTGAATTATTCTGGGCAGTAGTTATTTCAAAATAGTGGCACCGGGGCATCCACACTACTGCTATTCCGAAATAATTATTTCAAAATTAGCATTATTCCCTGTGGGAAGCAGGAATATAGATTTTGAAATAAGCAGCCCATTATTTCGAAATAACAGGCTTGGTAGTGTGGACGCTCCACTTATAAATTCATAGAATCATAGGACTGGAAGGGACCTCGAGAGGTCATCGAGTCCAGCCCCCCGCCCTCAAGGCAGGACCAAGCTCCGTCTGCACCATCCCTGACATATGTCTATCTAACCTGTTCTTAAATATCTCCAGAGAGGGAGATTCCACCACCTCCCTTGGCAATTTATTCCAATATTTGACCACCCTGACAGTTAGGAATTTTTTCCTAATGTCCAATCTAAACCTCCCTTGCTGCACTTTAAGCCCATTACTCCTTGTCCTGTCCTCAGAAACCAAGAGGAACAAATTTTCTCCTTCCTCCTTTTGACACCCTTTTAGATATTTGAAAACCGCTATCATGTCCCCCCCTTAATCTTCTTTTTTCCAAACTAAACAAGCCCAGTTCATGAAGCCTGGCTTCATAGGTCATGTTCTCTAGACCTTTAATCATTCTTGTCGCTCTTCTCTGTACCCTTTCCAATTTCTCCACAAACTAAGGGGACTTATTTCAAACTAACATCCTAGTGTATTCCAGGGCCAAATTGTCTGTGTCATTCAAGAGGTCCACGGGTCACACTTGTCTGCTCAGTTTTTTGAAAATAACTTTTAAAGTAGCTCCAGGTTCTGTAGCTGCTTGTGACTCTTGCAGCCAATTTTTGTGGTTTTACAAGCACACCGTCTTATTAAAAATATTTTTTCTACCATATTGCTCTCTCTCAGAAGCACTGAGTCATGGTGAAGCTGGCTATACTTCAAGTGCCGATATAGGCATAAGGTGAATAAATAGAGAAATGTTTTCTTAAACTTCTGTTACATAACATTGTTACTTTTAACAATAGAAGGCAAATCATTTTTAGACAAAAATGGGGATTTTAATTGAACTGTGTCCCTTTGATATAAGCAGAACTAAGGAATATTGCTGGTATGTGCACAAATTTCAGTTGTGTTGACGTACCCTCCCCCCACCGACTTCTCTCGAGTATTCATATCACTGGTTGAGAAACACTGGAATAGTTGACTAATCGATAAGAATTTCATGAGGTCCTTCCTGAACAGTTTATACCCTTCTATGGCAGTGCTCCAATCATGTGACTCTCCATTATGCCAAGTCTCCGTTATGTCAATCACATCATAGTTCATCATAGTCCATGGAGACCATTTGTTTAATTAACAGTAGCCAGAAATTGTGGAAGGGTTCAGACTCCATTCAGTGATGCAGGATTCTTTTTTCTTATTTAAAATAGTAAACTTCATTTATGGGGATTTAAACACTTATTCCTTCAAGGTGCAATGTCGAATATAATAGAGGATTAAATTACCAGGGTTATTTGCTTTTTCACTTTTTGCTAGCATCTGGTCACAGATTATTAATGTACATTTCTGGGGAGTAGCCTGCATTCTTCTCCATGCATACATGGATGGGAATATATACTCTGTGGATTTAGTGCATTGTTTCCCAAGCAGCAAGGCAAGACTCTCTCTCTCTTGCCCTCGCATGATACCAGATTAGTTCAAAGGGGTCTTTGGGGCAGAAGTGAGAGGACCAGTGTTGGGAGGGGGCGGAACTTCAAGAATCCAGAGCCACGCTTCAGGTAAACACAGGAGGCTCCAGGAAAGCCGTTTTTATCTTCCTTACCTGCCTACTTACTGTTGTTGTAGTTGACTGTGAAAGCAATTTATAGATATAGTGCTGGAGTCTCAAAAGTAGCTAACAATCCCAGGCATATCAGCTGAGCCTCAGGTCACTGAGGGTGGGAGACTGGTGCTGTCATAGTGTTGGGAGCACTGAAATGGACAATTCGCGGATCTTGATATTTCCTAGAAACAAACAGCTTGGTTTCTGTGATGGCTTGTATCAGAATCTTGTCGGCAACGTCTCTGCAATGTTTCCTAGGTCCAGGACTTTTTTTCCCCCATACAACTACCTGTTCAAAGAAGGAACTATTTTAAACCATGAATTCCTACGAGTGATAAACAACTGTTAAAATTTAGTTAATTGTAGATCTCTCATTAGGAGGCAACTTGGAATAAGCAGCAAAGTGTACGTGCATATCTGAGAGTGGGTGGCAGAGTCACCAGAATACTAAACTGGTGTTAATACAAAAGATGAATAATATAGACACACAACTTGAGAAGCACAAATGCACACTTCAACTACTTTTCTCTTAGTCAGCACTTCTTGACACAGTCTTATGCCATATGTTCTTGCTAAACAACAGATGTACTGTCTGAGGGTATGTCTAGACAGCGGGGCTATTTCGGGATATCGGAGGTATTCCAAATTAGCTAACCCACATCTTTTAAATGCACTCGTTATTTGAAAGTATTTTTCGAAATAATGGGCGTGCTATTTCAGCATCCCTGTAACCCTCGTTCCACAAGGGTCAAGGGATGTGTTGAAATAGCATGTTATTTTGAAATTTGGTGCTGTGTAGACATGCCACATTTCAAAATAAGCTATTTTGAAATACAAGAGTAATATAAGATATGCAATTTGAGTCGCACAAATTGTGTAACTTATTTTGAGTTTAGGGTGCTGTGTAGATGCACCCTAGCAGCGTTTTTTCATTTAAGAATACAGAATAGCATTAAGGCAAGTCAGAATTAATTTTTTCCCCAAACTTAAGTTATCTTTTCTCTTTGGTAACTTATTTCTCTCCTCTGTTGCTACTCCTACTTTGCACAAAATCCTTTAAGGATTTTGAAGCGCTTCACAACATTGGATTAATTTTCACAATACCTATGTCAGGATGGTCCCTGTTTTTTCCAGATGGAAGAAGTAAGCAATGGACTGTTGACCTGCCCAGTAACTCACAGACTATCCATAGCACAGCCAGGAACAAAACTTAGACATCCTACGTCTTAATCCTGTACGTTGAATGCAAGCCCATCTTTCCCTTATGTTTTCATGCCTGAAGGTAGTTTATTTGAGGGCAATATTGAACATAGGTTACATTGATTAGTAATTATGATGTTGTCAGGATAAAACCTGCAATATAAAGTGGGTCAGAAATCCCATTTAAAGACTGATCAAATACAGCCACCTCAGAGGTGGTTTGGAGGATGTATTGTGAATCAAAAGAACCATAGGAACAATCTTGCTTCAACAGAGGGAATTGACTCAATTGACTTAATGAGCTAACTTTTCAAAAACAGCAAATAAACTAGTTCCTGTCATGTATTTGCTCAGACAGGGACTTTTAAAGGGTCAGAATGGATAGCATATTATCCTTTAAATCACCCGGAGTAATTTTTATTCATTTCTTTTTCCTAATCAGCCTTGCAAACTTGGTATTGCTGTTTGGAAAAATGCATCTTAGCAGCAATCTGATTATTTTATAACTTTCTTATGTAGACCTCTATTGGAGATAAATCTAGTTTAATTTGCTTCTACTTCATATGACCTTGTAAATAATAACTGTAAGAAGAGACAGAAGTTCAGTATTTTTCATTCATATTTGTCTTGCAACTATGTGAGATCATAGCTCTGCTTTATTAAATATGTTTTAAAATATGGTATAATTTTTGTGCCTGTTTTTCTTTAAATCTTTTACATAATTAGTTACAGTTACAGCATCTAAACCATTCCCTAAAGTGTTTCTCTTAATATATTCCTATATTTTCAGTACATTTGAAATCCATGAATTATTTCTTTTGACTTTTTTTCTTCCTTAGGCTGATTGATAAGTAATAAATATTGATAGTAATTTTACATCACCTTTTTCAATCTGGAGCTATTTGATCTCACTATGTTTTGATTCAATTTAACATCATAGTAAGATCAGGTTAATCTCCTATATGTTATGCTGAGACTGCATAACTGTTTCCTTAATACTGTAAAACTCCATTGGTCCGGCATCCAATGCTCCGGGACTCCTGATGGTCCGGCACCATCAGGAACCCGGAAGTGCTGGGGCAGCCGGACAGGCTTCCTCCATTCAGCTGCTGCTGAAACTGACCAGCAGCTGAATCAGGGAAGCCGGGAACAGAGCAGCGGGGGTGCTCCTGGGTTGGTCTCGTAGCGCTGCCCCTTGGGGCTGTGGGACCAACCCGGCAGCACCCCAGATGCTCTTGGGGATGCCTGGGGCAGAGCAGCTGGAGTGCTGCTGGGTTGGTGCCATAGCGCCGCCCCTCCGCGCTGCGGGACCAACCCGGCAGCACCCCAGCTGTTCTATTTCAGGCATCCCCGATTCAGCTGCTGCTGAAACTGACCAGCAGCAGCTGAATCAGGGACACCTGGCGCAGAGCCGGACTATCGTAAGGGGGGGCTATGAGGGGTCTGGGGTGGCATCCCCTCCCACCCCACTCCAGACCCCTCATAGCCCCGCCTTCTGATAGTCCAGCATATCTGATAATCCGGCACCCCCTGGGTCCTAAAGGTGCCGGATTATCGGAAGTTTACTGTACAAAGGAATCAACACTACAGTAGTAGCAAAGGGCAGAAGTTGTGCACAGCACAAAAATCAAGGATGTCCATTGTAATGTAAGAGTCTCTGAGGGGGTACTATTTAAAGTGCTACTCTGTTCGACTTTCTTGTGGTGTTCTCTATACATAAAATGGGAATTAGCACAAATAACTCAATAATTCTTCCACCACAAATAAACAAATATATAAGAACGGCCATACTGTGTCATACCAGTGGTCTTTCTAGCCCAGTAGTCTATCTTCTGACAGTGGCTAATGCTAGATACTTCAGATGGCATGAATACCAGAGGGCAATTTTGAGTGATCTACCCTCTGTTGCCCTGTCCAAACTTCTGGTAGTTTGAGGTTTAGGGTCACCTCTGGAGCATGGGGTTGTCCCTGACCATCTTGGCTAATAGCCATTGATGGATTTGTCCTCTGAGAACTTGCAAACTTTTTTTGGAATCCAGTTATACTTTTGCCTTCACAACATCCCTTGGCAATGAGTTCCATAGGTTTGCTGTATGTTGCATGAAGAAATACTTCCTTTTGTTTGTTTAAAACCTTCTATTAATTTAATCAAAGTTATTTAAAATGTGATTATTTGATAAAAGGCTGTAAGGTCTTAGAAAATGCAATGAAGAATTTATTTTTTCCACAAAATATACTAAACATAAGTCTGCTGCTCAATACCCTTTTGAATCTTTTATGGGAAGATAGTGCTTAAGAAACCATCACTGTGCAACTGACCTCTCCAGCCCCACATTTAACCTTGCATTCCTGAGTGAGGTAACTGATATGGTCACCAAGGCCCACTTACAATTCCACCTAGATACTGCAGTCATTTTAGATCCTCTCCCTGTCGGGCTTTAGTCCAGAACATGAAACAAAGACAACACTGATGTCATGATCTCCATTTGACTCTGGATATGAGACCAAGTTCCATATTCGTATTGCTGGACCTCATGGCAGCACTGGTTATTGTCACTTGTGGAATCCTTCTCTCTTGCCTTTGTAGTCTGGCAGGAGTCAGTGGGATTGCATTTATTTAGCTGAAACTAAAATGACACCCAGAATCATGATGGGCACATGTTTAGCATCTTGGTGGAGTCCCACTTTTATACTGTGCAGTTCTAGTCACCCCATCCTAAAACAGATATATTTTAGAATTGGAAAAGGTACAGAAAAGGACAACAAAAAGGATTAAGTATATGCAACAGCTTTCATATGAAGAGAGATTAAAATGACTGGAGCTGTTTACTTTGGAAGAGAGAGGACTAGTAGTATCATAACTGGTGATCACCCAATGAAATTAATAGGCTTCAGGTTTAAACAAACATAAGGAAATACTACTTGACACATTGTACAATATGGAACTTGTTGGCAGGGGATTTTGTGAAGGCCAAAAGTATAATTGGGTTCAGTAAAGAAGTTAATGCAGGATAGGTCCATCAATGGTTATTAAGCAAAATGATCAGGGGTGACTGTCAAATGACAGGATACTGATGGACCACTAGTCTGACTCAGTATGGCAATGTTTGTGTTCTGATGAACACAGCTATTGAAACTGAAATTATTCCTGCATGGACCTCATAGAGCTGTTGTAGAGAAATTAAAGATGCTGTTTAGATTCCTTAGCTCTCTGTCAGTAATTGAGCAGCTGTGTTTTTTTGTAGTCATGTATTTACAAATGTTCTTCTTTCAGCAAAGAAAGCGGCACACATTTATTGTACATCATTTTCTTTGTCATGTGGAAGTATTCCCATACAGACAAGCACATTTCAACCTCCACATTAAAAGGAAAGTGGGGTTGGCTTTCTTTGTTTCTCACTCAATTGTTTTCTCTTTTGTTGTCTGTCTCTCTCCATTTAGGGCTATTAATTCAGAATGCATAATCAAGTATGCCAGATTCATCCCTGGTGTGACTCCAGTGGCTTTAGTAGAGTAACCTGTGGATGATTTTAGTACACTGGGTGTAAAGAGCAACATAGTCCCCAGCCTATATCTCCTGTTAAGAATGTAAATTTTTCCTTTGTGATAATATGCTGAAGTTGTTGACATTATTTTGATACTTGCTGCATCTTTTCCCCTCATTAGGCTCAGCTGCTGCAAAAACTGCAGTGTGTATATGTCCAGGGCAGGAGGGATAAAATGGCTAGAAAAGATAGTGGGGGAAAAAGACATTTTTCAACATTTCTGTTCTTAAATTCTGGGGGTGGAAAGTGTAGTAAAAATCCCACACACTGAAAATTTAAGATAATATATTTGCGAATATCATAAATAACAAAAAGTTGTGTTTCAGCATGGTAATATCTCTCCCATTTTTGTATTTGCAGATATTTGTTTGAAAATGTTAATTTAAAATTTTCTAAATGAATAAAAGATAGTTTTGCAAAGCTCGTACTACGAATGTAAAGGACTAGTCAGCTAGTTGCCCCTCCCCCTTATCAGATAGAGGTAGCAAGGGAGGGGGAGAAGAGGGAGGTACTTAAAAGTGGTAGTGCCGCATATAGCCTGGGG